TATCCGTTAGCGGTCTGTATATGTGGGTTATGTATATAGGTCACGGGTTGTATATATGGGATATGTATATGGGTTGTAGGTCGCAAAACGAAGAAGAAAGTGATACTTCCAGTTCCTTTTATTTAGGGTTAATGCAGGGTGATATTTATCGTCATAACCTTTATTTTATTTATTTATGATGGATATGTCTTTGGAGGAAATGTGTCTTTAAATACGGCTAGTTTTATCTATGATGATAAAATCCAGATTATGTAATATAAAATATTATTATAACATAATATATAGTATTTATTATATTTATAAACGTTAAACACAAGGCAAAATCAAGAAAGATAGCGTTCTAAATTTCCCATTTCCAATTTACAGACACTTCTAGCCTGTGGAACTCACTTCCGGTCTCTTGGTTTCCGGTCAACGTTGTTATTCAAATATTTAAATGCAATGACAATCGTTATCTTTTTGTCTTCTTCATTCATGTTCTTTTATTGTTCTCTTTCCCTTGGAAATTTTATTCATTATTTTCTTCATACGCTCTCGCACTCAGTAACCCGTTGCGCCTTAGTCTCTTTATTGCCTTGCTTCGAGGGAAAATGATTAAAAGAAAAAGTAATAGACTATTTTGACCATCTGTATTCAAAATGGCTTTTATATGAGCAGAGGCTTGAGCAGCAGCACTTAGCAAATACGCCAACGACATTTGCCGTTAGACAGTCCACATTAGGCGACTAATTCCCCTGGCTCTCCGACAGAAGAGAAAAAAGAAATGGATAAAAAAAATAAGCATAAAAACAATAGCCAATGATTAGCCGGGCTTTTGCCACGTGACTTCATGACTACAAAAACAAAAACAAAAAAAAGAAAGAAAGAAAAAAAGAATAGACAAAAATAGACAAGAAAAGAATATCAATTAAAAAAAAAGAAAGAAAAAGAAATTAAAAGTAAAAAGAATAAAAAAAAGACAAGTTGTAAACCCGAAGCACAATATGGTTGTCTCAACACCGGATTAAATGTTTTGAGCTAAAGTTCGATAGACGAATGCTACTTAACCTATTAATTAATTGTCTGTAATCTTTCATTTGTCAGGAAAGCATTTATTCAGGTGTAAATAGACCGCCATGCAGAAAATATAATACCTGTCACTTCGCCTTCTGCTTTAAAGAGTGGAGTGAACGCCGCGATCAGTGTGACGTTGCAAAGGGATTACTTTGAAAAGGGACTAAAACTTCTTTTTCCTTGATAGGCTCTTTCTTTAATTAATACCTCGGACCTTTTCTGGATAGATCTCGAATACAAAAACGTTTGCCATATAATAACCTCTGGCAATTAAAAGAACAACACATTGTGTATCGAACTAAATTATATATGACTTACTAACGGGAAGCTTTAGGAAATATGGTTGATATTAAAACGCTTATTTATAATAATTGATTTTTTAAACGACTATTACTCTTTAAACGATTATTTAAGACAAAAGCATATATTATATATTAAACGCTGTCCCATCCTTTAATTAGCACGACCGTTATGCCCTGTCAGTACCCCATAAATAATGGACTATTTCGTTTTGATAGCGTGGAAAGACGGAAAAGACATACCAGAAACGCTACTTAGTTTCATCGAGAAGAAAAAAAAAAAAAGAAAGAAAGAAAGAAAGAAAGGAAAAAAAAAGAAAGAAAGAAAAAATGGAAGATTCAAATATTTGTCATCTCTTGGTAATATTTCGTAAATAATGGACTATTCTGAAATACGTGTTGAAAGACGGAAAAAAAAACTTCGGAGACGCTACTTGATTTCAGTGAGAAAATGAAAGAAAGAATGGAAGTAATAAAAAAAGAAAGAAAGAAGTGTTTAACGTCTACTGCCAGTATTTCATAAATAATGGACTATTCCGTTTTGATCGCGTGAAAAGTCATATCAGGGACGCTACTTGGTTTCGAAAAGAAAGAAGTGCTTAACGTCTATGTCTGTGAAATAGAAACTTTGTCAGTTTAAAATCTTTTCATTTGTACCCCCTTGCTTCTTAAATTAACGACCAGAATTCATATTTTTGATTGTTTTTAAGCTTAAATATTTAACGATGCGATAGGGGAATTTCTGTGGATATTTTATTGCCATAGAACTCGTCATGAGCTTTTTCAATTATCAACTGAAGAATTAAGATTCGTCAAAAATTTCAAATGAGAAAACGGTTAAATTTTCACGTCTATTTCTAGTAATAATTTTGCTTAAATTTTATATTTTTATAGTACATTTTAATATGCTTAATTGGATAATTTTATGATTTTATATTGCTTAAATTTTACATTTAAATTTGATATTTAAACGTTTATTCGTAATAATTCATGTTTTAAATATTTATTCTCTTGATATATATTTTAAAACAAAAGTGCATATTACTGTTTAAATGTTTATTATTTATATTATTACCTAAATTATATATTTTTAGAATATATTTTTAATGTAATTAATTTTACAGTTTTTATAATTTTATATTGCTTAAATTTTATATTTAAAGTTTATATTTAAACTTTTTTTTTGCTCACAATAATTGATTCTTTAAACATTTATTATTCAAAATGCTTTGAGCGAATGAAACCTGTAGGTTTTGGCAAATTCCATCTATCTTTGAACCGTGTGAAGTGACGCTAGAGAATCACAAATAAAAAACTGTACCAAATAATAGAAACTACATCAGTTGAGGACTACCAACCGTAGAAACAACTAAAATGGATAGCACATGTAAGAAAAAAATAATGACATAATCAAGATTTTGATATTCCACACTATTTCAAATAAAAGTTTAACAAGAAAACCCTTGTCAATACTGGAAAGAGCGATAACAGCTACTGGGCTTAAAAAAAAACAAAAAAAAAATAAAAAACGTTTGTTTTTTTTTTGTTTTTTTTATTGAAAGATTGTTTGAAGAGAAAGATTTTATAAATTTCAACCGAAACCAATATTATCTGAATGAATGCCAAAATAAAGTACAGTTTGAGAATTCTTTATGCGAATTTCTTGGAACCGGAAGTGTTTTGTTTTTTGTCGGATTTTGGAACACAGGCTATTTAATTTGTATATAGTAGCTATAAAATGGGTCAGCCTAAGAATGGAACCCAAGCATAAACACCATGTCCCTTTACATTTCATAACACAGATATACATATACCTTGATGTCAGTTATGTGCCATGCATAGAAGATCATGTAAGTTTCCATACATGACTGACGAGGCTGAATTTTTTTCCCCGCAATAGGTTGCCATTTCTTTCTGCGGTAGACCAGTTGCCATCCAAGGCTATAGAATCCAGTCTGTCCTGCTATTTAGACATAGCTGAGGAAGGGGAAAAAGAGGATTCATACCTTTCCCAAGGGTATTAGCACGTAAGTGAATGTAATGGATTCGAACTCGGCTCTCTGATTTCTCAATGCGAGCCGTTATCCATTGCCTTGGTGTAGTTTTATATAAATAACATATGTCCTGAAAGTAGTTTTATATAAAATTTAATAAATGTTGCGTACATACAGATACAAGTAATGATGACAGTCATGTAATGCTCAGACGGATTTTTAAATGGTGAAAGATTTCACATAAAAACATTTTGTACTTTCTATACGTGTACAAAAACACTGTAACTTACTTACAAAAATATATAAATGTCACACCAAACACTACTTCTACACATAGAGAGAGAGAGAGAGAGAGAGAGAGAGAGAGAGAGGGAGGGAAACTGGCATCAAAGGATACATAATCGACGACATCACTGTGAGTGTGAGAAAGAAAATTCGGTAAGCTATCAGTCGCTACCTACGATGTCGTGTTTTGATTAAAATTTTACAATACATAAAGGTGCAGTATTTGTCTAAAAACAAAACATGGATTCTGATTACAGTAAAATGTAATGAAAACTGAAAAAAAAAAGGCAGCATTTTATTTGTATCACTGCAACGCAATAATCATGCTACGGGTAGCCATGTTGCTTTCTGAAATTTTCCATTTGTGGCAAGTCATGTCATTACTTGAAAAGCTTTCGGATCTTGGAAGTTTTCGGATTTGGGAATTTCGTATAACGGATTCTCAACCTGTAGAAACGAGAAATTTAGTTAGAAACAAAGAAAGAAGCATTGAAAGTCTATTTAACATCTATTCTCCTCCATGACAAAGATTATTCTGCCTTCGTTTCCGCTCTTTAGTAACGTTTCTGTTTTCTAATTATTCCAGACCCAGCACCCCCTTGTGTCTTAGAGGCTTTACTACCTTGCTTGGGGTGAACTCGCTAAAAAAGAGAGTGAAGGCAAGAAACGTGGTTCTACACAACCATGCTGAGAATTCCATGTCCTGGAAATTATGGAAAATGGAAACATAAAAAGGGTTTGAAAATCAGAAAGAGATAGTTGAAAATCTAGGACAGATAATGAGGAAAGGGCGCTTGTAAAATTTGATACTCACAATACAACTTGTAGATAAAAGGGACAAAGGGAAAGAGAGAGAGAGAGAGAGAGAGAGAGAGAGTGACATGTATAACGGGTTTGTGTAAATGAATGGTAGAGCAGGTCTAGTAACAATACAAACATTGTTAAGAGATACAAAGGAAAGGATGTTGGGGAGAAAGAAAAGCCAGAGAGATCGTCACAAGAAGATCCACTTTTGAAGAAAGGTCCCAAAACCTCACACTGTCAAGTCGATATTATTTGAAGGATTGCCAAAGGGAATAAGGAATAATTTTACGTATGAAAGATTTTGATTCGGATTCTTATGAGTCTTCGCAACGATAATTTTACACACACACACACACACACACACACACACACACACACACACACACATATATATATATATATATATATATATATATATAATAGAGTTTTAAGGTATGCTATATTTATCAGGTGAAAGTGCTCAATATGGGGAATAGAGCGTGTGTAAATATAAGAAGTGTGAACACGACGGTATATATCTATATATACAGGAACTTGGATGAGTTCCACCACGGAATATGCGAACTAGCGGCGCAATATCGAGTCTAGCTCGCTACCTCTTCGTCACCGAGGCCCATTAGTACAGTTGGTATGACGTTTGCCTGTCAATGTAACTGTCCGGGCTTCAATTCACGGTAGTGGATGCGCACTGCTGATGAGTCCCAAATATAGGATGAAACAACCGTCCAGTGCTTTCTGCATTCTGTTGAGGTTTCTTCTAGATTCGATGAATTACTTAATTATCTCAAATCCTGCTTAATTTCTATCCTTTGTATATCCTTGCTTGAACCGGCTTCTAATGCTCTGGATAGAGAGGCTTGGGAATAGAAGTCGTGGCTCTAAGGGGCACAATCCTATGGGTAAAGGAAACTTGGATGAGTTCCACCACGGAATATTTGAACGAGCGGCGCAATATCGAGTCTAGTTCGCTATCTCTTCGTCATCGAGGCCCGTTAGTATGACGTTTGCCTGTCAATGTAACTGTCAGGGTTTCAATTCTCGGTAATGGATGCGCACTGCCGATGAGTCCCAAATATTGGAAGAAACGGCGGTCCAGTGCTTTCTTTCTGCATTCTGTTGAGGTTTCATCTAGACTCGATGAGTTAATATATATATATATATATATATATATATATATATATATATATATATATATATATATTAATAATTGCATTATATTTACATACAATCTATTAAGCACTTTAACCCCAAAATATAGCATACCGTAAAACTATGTTTTTTATCATATATATTAAATCTGGCCAGAATATTGTGTTTAAGCGTGAGACAGATTGTCGCCGTTTATATATATTTGTGTGTGTGTGTAGATAGAGAGAGAGGTGATCGACCAGGGATAATAATAAACATTGTTTACAGCTACAGAGGATAGGATGTTATGGAGCACCGTGAAGTGACACGAAACATTGAAGAAAAAGATGATGAAGAAGAAGAAGACGAAAAGTAGAAGTATACGAAGAAGAAGTAAAAGAAGAATATGAAAAGAAGAAGAAGAATTCGATGAGGAAGAATACATAAGGAAGAAGAAAAAGAAGATGAATACGAAAAGAGGATGAAGAATACGAAGAAGTGGAATACGAAGAAGAAGAAGAAGAAGGAAAAGAAGAAGAAGGAAAAGAAGAAGAAGAATACGAATAATAATAAGATGATCGATACGAAGAAGAATAAATTGACAAAGAAGAAGCAAGAAGACAAAAAAGTAACGAAAAATAATATGGAGAAGAATACGTAGAAGAAGAAGAAGAAACTAGAAGAAGAATATGAAAAAGAAGAAGAAGAAAATAGTGATGAAAGAAGTCATTCATGTTCAAGGCTGTTCTCTGTCGTCGTTTCCATCTTCTTTTTTTATTTTATTTTTTTAATTCTCTCTTCGTTTCGTACGTAAATAACCAGACGCGCCAATTTTCTCTGGGAATAATTTGTTCTTTTTGAAAGCTTATTACGCAATCGGAGAGGACAAAATGAATGCGCTGATTTGCTTGATTATTTGTCATTATCAGGAAAACAAATGGGAAAACAAGGCATTCACCCAGTAGTCAATAGTGTTTATGAGCGTGTCTCACCACGAAACAGTATTTATTCGCCTCTTTACCAGGACAAGTATGAAAGGTCGGTTTAATGTTAGCCACCAACCCCATACATGCACACACACGCGTGTGTGTATGTGTCTGTGTCTGATGTGTGTGTGTCTGATGTGTCTGATGTGTTTGTGTGTGTTTGATGTGTGTGTGTGTGTGTGTCTGATGTTGATGTGTGTGTGTGTGTGTGTGTGTGTGTGGTAAAAGTTATCTGGTTGCACCAGTTGTTACAATTGAGCTCAATAATTGTTCACTGTCACTACTTCGTTAGTTCAATGCGGAGGTACTGTCTGGTAGACGGATTCCCCAGGGACCAGACACGGTATCATCCGAAGACGGCGCGATACCATTACAGTAATTCCCTGATTCCGATTCCGGACTTCGATTATTTGGACGCGAAACCAAAAGAAAAACTGAAATCATCCCAATGTTTTTTTCAATTATCCGAACTAAACACATTCTAATTTTTCCTCTCAGACAAGCATTTTGAGAATTTAGAAAACCAAATTCCACGTTCGATAAAAACGTTTATAAAATCTGTTCAATTTGTTTCTGTTAATTACTTTGTTGCTTTTGCACAGAAAACATACATTTGAATTATCACAGTTTCCGTCACGCCAGGGATTATGGATTTTGCAACTATCCAAAACGAATGTCTCGTTCAAGTAGAAAGCTCTGGGTATGAACACCTAAGTGGCATAATATCATTAAACTTATAACCACGCCGAAAAATGTTGAAGAGGAGGATGATAATAATATTGCTAATGTCAATGTTCAACAGCCTCAATGCCCAATTTCAATCAAGGAAGCAACTGTTATGGTTGATAAATATTTATGTTCGTTTCGCTTTCAGTTAAAAGTTACTCTTACAAATGCATCTACTTTGGCTTCGGGAGTTAGTGACAGAAAACCCTGAGATCAACTGGAAACGGAGAAAAATTGATGCATTTTTTCATAAAAATATACTGGACAAAACCAAGAACCAAGCGTTTAAAAATATTATTTGATGATTTAAATTTATTTCCGAAAATTACATTTTCCTTGATTATTTTTCGATAATTCACTTATCCGGAATATTAGTTGATTCAGTTATCCGGAATTTTAATTATCCGGACATATTTTTTCAATTCCTGTCCCAATGTATTCGGATAATTGAGAAAGTGTTTTTATTTATTTATTCATTATTCATTTTATAATTCAGGAAGTATTTTTATTTATTTATTACACATTTATTTTTATTTATTTATTATTTATAAATATTGATGATTTCAATGTTAAATTTATCTACGAAAACGGAATTTTTCTTCATTATTTTTCGATAATTCATTTAATTTTTAATTATTCGGACGTATTTTTTCAACTCCTGTCTCAATGTATTCTGATAATTGAGGGCGTAATTTTATTTATTTCATAACTGAGGAAGTATTTTTATTCGTTTATTTTGTATTTTTTTGAGAGGTCAGTCTAATGTTGGGGCCAAACGTACCTCTGTACAAAGACAAACATTGCGCAGACTTCGCAGGCAGTGAGAAGGTCTCACGATCCTCCTCTTTTAGTGCAATCTTTTATTCACTTCAGCACATGGCTCTCCACAACTTCCTATCTCATGTGGCTCTTAGCAGTTTTTCTCCTTTTGCTAAGGCTCTCGTCACCGTTCTACCATCCATTCCCACAAACTCGCTGCCTTTTCCTATCGTTCTTGCAATCAGTATGCCCAGTTTCACATTAAGTGTCCAAAGACTTTCGTCTTGGGTATAAGTTTTGTTTCTGTCTCTACCCGATGCGATGGATAAATTGTCGTCTAAATTACGCAAAAATGAAAATAACACCGACATCTCATTTTAACAGACATATTTACCAAAATTACACAAAAATATTTTGAAATACATTTTTTTAAAAATAATAATAATAATAATAATGGCCTACAGATTTGGCTCGGAAAATCAACCAACCGACGGTCGGGATGACCTCAGCTTTTCCAGTTGTAAATGCCTCGGTGAAAACAATAACTAATAAATCTGCCCTTCCATATATTGCGACCAAATAGTCTGAAGTTCGTTTTTTTTTTTTGTTGTTGTTGTTGTTTTGTTTCAGATAAACATTTAGAAATCTCTCAATATACAGGGTGCGATGGATAAATTATCGTCTAAATTACGCAAAAATAAGAATAATACTGAGATCTTATTTTGACAGATACACTTACCAAAATTACACCAAAATATCTTGAAATACTAATGAGTAAATATATTGAATAGAATTACCATTGGCTTCAACCACAGCTGCCAGACGACATCAGAATCTCCTGCAACTCTTGTGGACGGTCTCCTTGTTTAATTTGGTGAATGATGTCTTAATCCTTGTCTTCAGTTCATCTTTTGTGTTACAAAGAGTTTTGTTGATCTCTCGCTCAACTGAACCTCACACATAATAATCAAGGGAGTTGCAATCTGGGGAGTTAGGTGGCCAGATGCAAGGAGTTATATGGTTTCAGAAATTGTCTGACAGCAATGACTGGGTTCTTCTGCTTGTGTGGCATGATGCAGAGTCCTGTTGCCAGACACAGAGCCTTCCTGCAGCCGCCCTCTTGACCCGGGGCATCACTACCTCTTCAAGGAACTTGATGTAGGCATCTGTGTTGAATCTGAGGCCCTCACCAACAAATTCGGGAGTTCATTTTTTTATCAGAACGACCAGAATCAGTTTTTTTAAGCTGTTGTATCTTCGTAATCACCATTAAACTCATCCAACTTTTTCCGAATCCTCTGCAGTGTCCTCAGATTGACACCCAGACACTTTGAAATATTCATATTGGAACTTCCGGCGCGAATGCCAAGCAGTACAGCATGCCGTTTCTAAATTTCTGTGGAGTTAATTGCGACCTGGTGCTCTTTTTCTCACAGACGGCGTCCAACTATACTGTGCAGTCGACAAAAGCAAAAACAAT